CGAGGCCTATATTAAGAAATCTAATTGTACAAATCAAATGGCAAAACAGTAGAATGCACCTGATAGATAATGTTAACAAGGTCTCTGATAAACAGCAACAGTACCTGAGTTGTCCAGTTTTTCCAACATTTCAGGTGGCCATGGTTCAAATTCTCATGATAATGGTTCAAATTCTCATAAATCTGCAAGATTGATATAGGGTTATGAACATTACCCTGGGAAGGCTGTTTCTAAATCACCATGTAATTGTATGATGATTGTCATATTCTTCACCCTTCAAATGAACTTACATAGGAAATATAATTACAGTTATTAGATTCTAGGCTGTGCCTATTAGGTGATTCAAACGGACTCTTTCTTTCCCTTCTGTTCCTCATTGCTCATTAGGATCATATCATAAGATAGATATTTCCCACCACCGGCTCTGCTGGGAATTCCAATTGTCCCGTGATCTCACAGCTGTGAATCAGCCCCCACCCACTCACACTTGTCTCCAGCCAATGTGCTTTCTTTAATTCCGACATGACTTAAACTTGAGTTCTGGCTTATCTGTTGCCTGATAATCGAGTGGGTTACAAGTTGGATTGCTAGCACTCAGCAAAGGCAGCAGCAGTTCAAATCCACCAGCCCTTTCACAGGATGAAGAGTAACTGCTCCCAGAAAGGTTTACAGCCTTGGGGTAACTCAAAGGGCCAGTAAGAGTCAGAATCAACTCAATGCTCGGTGCATAAGAGTATCTCTTATCCTAAAGAGCCTTAGTGGTGCAGCAGTTAAAGTACCTCATTGCGAATTGACAGGTCAGCTAGTCAAATCTACTCATGGGAGAAAGAGGTGTTCGTCAGCTTGCAAAAGATCACGCCTGAAGAAACCTGCCCCCCCCCCCCAACTCAGTGTGTAAGGCTGTGAACTTTGGAACCCGAAAATAGTAGTGTCTGAGTCCAGGCTGCTATGACCAGCTGTGTGACCGTGTGACCTTGGACGACGGTCATCATCTCTTAACGTCTCCTTGTCTGTAAAGTGGGGCTAGTGCCCGTGGTAGGTGGTGAGGTTTAAATGGGGTGAAACAGGAAATGATATCGCCCATTTGGTAAGCCCAGATTCTCGATCCCTGCCTCACATCAGGAAGGAGCCCAGGCGGCATAGCATAGAGATCCCAGACTGGGCTGCTAAGCACAAGGTGAGAGGTTTGAAACCACCAATTCCACTCTTCCGCAGAAGGACGAGGCATTCCGCTCCCATAAAGAGTTGCCGTCTTGGAAGCCCAGATGCAGTTCTGCCCTGCCCTGTAAGGTTGCTCTGAGCCGGCCTTGATTTGATGGCAGTGAGAGCCCCTATGTCAGAGGGGTGAGAAGTGGGGGGCTGGTGGGGCATCAGGACTCTTAGCTAAGGCAATCAGGCAGAGTGGCCTAGAGGAGGGGCAGCTGTGAGTTGAGACTTCAGTGGCCAGCCAAGAAGCCAGACCCTGGTGCTGAGGCAAGGCTGCTGGGGGGGCAAATATGAGTGGCCATGAGACAGAGACAAATTAGGGGCAGGCAGAAAGGCAGAGGGAGCTAGGGCGCCGCTCCAGCCACACCCCAGACCTGGTAATTCCACCCAAGCCTGGGTTATCTGAAGCAGTTCTGAGATAGTCTTGGTAATGGGAGGCAGGAATCTGATCTCCCCGGCCCTTTGGAGAGCTCCTTTTCAGCAGCCCCGCCGGGGCCGGAGCCCGTCTCTGCCACCACCAACCTGACTGCCTCCTTCTCCCGCCAGGTCTCTCAGGGAACTCTGGCCCTGCTCCCCGAGCCCCAGGAGCCCCCATGAGTGCCGGTGAAGGGAGTGCTGGATAGCAGAGGCCCCAGCTGGCCTAGGGGCAGGTACCGCGCCATGCCACCCATCCTCCAGCGCCTGCAGCAGGCCACCAAGATGATGAGTCGCAGGAAAATCCTGCTCCTGGTACTAGGGTGCAGCACCGTAAGCCTCCTCCTCCACCAGGGGGCGCAGCTCAGCTGGTAAGAGGACCAGGCCGTGGGGAGGGTAGCCCAGGTCCTGTTTCTTCTACCTTCCGAGAGCCCACCTTCTCCTGGGCTTTGGCCCTCCTCTCTAGTCTCCGGGCGCTCTGCTTGCATTCTGCAGGCCACCACCTCCCTGGGTAGGACTGGCCGTCACTTGCTCAAAGTCATCCAGCTCATCAGTGGTAACTGGGCCTGGCTCCTTCCTGGGAAAGGGGGGGCTGGGGAGGACAGGACGGTAACATCTTCCTGTCTTCACTGCTGCCACTACTGGGCAACCCTCAATTCTGAGTCCAGGGCTCTTCATCCAGAAAATGAGGACAATGACCTCTGTGACCCCAGCTAGTCACCCTGGTCCAGGATGCTAGGTGTCCAGTCATGCCAGACCGGGTGAACCCAATCCATAGCGCAACTCGCCTCGTGGGCCCCAGCATTTCCATTTCTACTGCCCCTGCAGATGGTGTGGGTGGGCCCAGCGGCCCTGGCTGAGTGACGCCTGGTCTACAGCTGTAGGTCCCAAAGCAGGCGATACTGCCCCCTGGGGGTGGCACTGGACGCGATGGAGAGGGACTGCAAATGCAGACACCTACCCTCTATCCTGGATTATGGGCTATGGTACACAGGTTTTTCATTGCTGTGGGCACCAAGTAAATGTATTTTTTTCTGAAATGGGGAGGGTAGGCCAAATCAGTTTGGGAACCTAAAAGAACCTGACCCATCCAAACACACCCCGTTTCTGGAACAAGGAGTTTCACGAGGTTGTGCCAATAGCCTTTGGCTTCTTGGTTCTGCATGCCTGCAGACTGCATGAGCCTTGAACAGTGCTTGGCGCATAGTATGTGCTCAAAAATTATTTGTTGAATGAGTGAGTGAGGCTCCGCGGGCTCCCAAACTCAAAACTCACAGCCACTGAGTTAATTCCGACTCATGTTGATGCTACAGGGCAGGGAAGAACTGGCCCTTGGGATTTCTAAGACTTAAAATCTTTATGGGAACAAAGAGCCTCATTTTTCTCCTGAGGAGCAGTTTGTGGGTTCGACCTTGTGGTTAACCCACTAGACCACCAGGACTCCTCTCCAGAAGTCTTCTTACCACCACCGAGTCGATTCTGACTCATAGTGACCCTATAGGACAGGGGAGAAGTTCCCCCTGTGGGTTTCTGAGACTGTTTATGGAGTAGAAAGCGTTGTCTTATCTTTCTCCCTGGGAGTAGCTGGTGGTTAGCAAGGTCATAATATACCTGCTGCCCAGCCACAAGGAGGCCAGTTTTTAGAGACGATGTGGTTTTTTCTCTCCTGGCCCTGTCAGGATCCTGGAAAGTGAGATTCCTGCACGATCCCTAAGGGCCTTTGTCCCTAATGTGATTTATTTCTGCATAAACAACTTGCTCTAAAATGTAGGAGCTGAAAACTGCCCACCTTTACTAGAACGCAAAGTTTCGGTGGGTCAGAAGCCAGGGGTCACTCGGCTGAGTGCGTCTGGTTCAAGGTCTTTCATGACGTTGCCCTCAGAGCTGTCTGCTTCCAGGGTCACTCCCGGTGGTTGGCAGGCTGCGTTTCCTCAAGCAGCCGGACTGAGGGAGGGCCTCCTGGTTCCTTGGGGGCGGCTGCCATCTGATGCCTCTCCATAGGGCTGCTCAGCTTCGGGTGTGACAGCTTGTTTGCCCCCTGACGAGTTATCCTGCAGAGTAAGACAGATGCCACAGTCTTTTTATAACTTAATCTCAGACGTTAGACTCGTCCTTAGACCTATCAACAGGGCCAGTCCACATTCAAGGGGGTGGGATGACGCAAGGGCGTGCATACCACGTGGCCAATGGAGAATGGGGTGGGGGGCTCTAACCGGTTGCCTGCCGCACCTCTCCACGGTTCTATGGGTGAAGCTCAGGTGGGCGGCTGATGGCACGTTCCTGCCTTTGGGGCGCCGCCCTCACACCCTCTTCCCCGCACCCCACAGGTACCCCAAGCTCTTCCCCCTGAGCTGCCCGCCCCTGCGAGAGTCGCCGCCGCGCCCCAAGCACATGACCGTGGCCTTCCTGAAGACGCACAAGACGGCGGGCACGACGGTGCAGAACATCCTCTTCCGCTTCGCCGAGCGCCACAACCTGACGGTGGCCCTGCCGCACCCGAGCTGCGAGCACCAGTTCTGCTACCCGCGCAACTTCTCGGCGCACTTCGTGCACCGGGCCACGCGGCCGCCGCACGTGCTGGCCAGCCACCTGCGCTTCGACCGCGCCGAGCTGGCGCGCCTCATGCCGCCCGACACCGTCTACGTCACCATCCTGCGCGAGCCGGCCGCCATGTTCGAGTCGCTCTTCAGCTACTACAACCAGTACTGCCCGGCCTTCCGGCGCGTGCCCAACGCGTCGCTCGAGGCCTTCCTGCGCGCGCCCGAGGCCTACTACCGCGCGGGCGAGCACTTCGCCATGTTCGCGCACAACACGCTGGCCTACGACCTGGGCGGCGACAACGAGCGCAGCCCGCGCCACGACGCCGCTTACCTGGCGGCGCTGATCCGCCAGGTGGAGGAGGTCTTCTCGCTCGTCATGATCGCCGAGTACTTCGACGAGTCGCTCGTGCTGCTGCGCCGCCTGCTGGCCTGGGACCTGGACGACGTGCTCTACGCCAAGCTCAACGCGCGCGCCGCCGGCTCGCGCTTGGCCGCCATCCCCGCGGCGCTCGCGCGGGCCGCGC